ATACACTGTTCTCAGCATCTAAGCATAAGTCTTCTGCTTCTACTATAGTATTTTTGCAGATATAGCCTAATTGTCCTCTAGGGATGCATGCTTTTGTGTTAACTCATTGCTATTTATTCTTAGTATTGTCATAACTATCCCAAACATTGGTCAAGACAGGGAAGATAACTTTTTCCTCTGCAGCACTAATAGTGAGAACATAAGCTTCAATAGGTTCGTGTTGTGGATTGTTAGTGAAATTCAATAATTGCCAACAAGCTTGGTGATCTTTTTCAAACTGACTGGTAGAGTTATTTCTCAATACGAAAGATCTTGATAGGTATGTATCATTATTTATATTGTCTGTGTCTTTTTGACACTTGCCAGCGTCATGCCCAATACGACTTGGTTTGTTCCCATTGTTCCTCAGCAACAGTGTAGGAATGTGGGATTGCAATATGTTGTCCACATTCGGATGCAATGATAATGTTTTGTTGGCACAATTGAGCTCTTATGGCTCGGCTTATAATTACATAAAGAAAGAATACTTCGGCTCTGATTTCTAAGTTTTCAATACGTTGTACAACTTGATGTACTTGCCCATTGAGAATAGGGGTGTCCAGAAAGTCAGAGGCCCAATGCTCTCCTGACCATGATTGATGAGCTTGAGAGTTACAAGCTAAACATAGTATGTTAAAAGTCCCTTCTCTTTCTCTAACTACTCTCCAAGTTTTCTTGTTACAATTTTGACACTTTACACAAATCCAAGGGCGACATGAGCAACCATGAGTGTGACAAGCACTTATTAACTGTCTTTGCAAATCACTTATATGTATAATTTCTCCTTCAAGATCAATTCCTTTCTTCTGCAGTGCTGTCTTCCACATAGTCACGGCACTTCATGCGTCCAGCGTCCAGCACGTGTGGGGTGTTGGGACGGAGTAGAGGGTATTTTAAGGTGGTGAAATAGGTTAAGAAAGGTAGGAGCGTGTTATGAAAGTTTTTTTGTGGGATAGTTGGTTTAAGGAGAAGACGAACTAGAGTACAACCCCCTAGTGATTTAAATGTTTGCAACTGGAAACTGGTTTAAGAATCCAACCCCTGGATCAACTGGTGGATGTTGGTCTGTCAAGTACTGGTTACTAGATTAATACCTGTCAGCGGTGACCAGTACTTTATAGATAGATATCCTGTGCATGACACGGTGAGACAAATTGAGAAATCCCAGATAACTGCATAATTAAACCCCTATGATAATAATGGGAGGCCAACAAAGTAAAGAAAGCAGCCTGCTGGAATCAGGAAGGGAAGAGAAAGAGAGCACCCTGCAGAAGTTACAAAAGGATGAAAAAGAAAGTAGTTTGCCAGAATCAGAAAGGAATCAGGAGTACAGTCACGGCAATCCATATTAAAAGTGCCAGCAATTTAGCTTTCGTAATTTCTTTTTTTCTGTCTTTTTTTTTTTTTTAAACTGGCGTAAGGCTTCAGCATTCTGTTTCATCTCTCAGGAATTACCTCCCCCCTTCCCTGGCTGCTCACCTCTGGATCGAATGCTGAATTTTCTTCTTTTTTCCTATAGTCCTATAACTTCAGAGGTGATTGGCGTGTGCAGGGTCCTCAAGGAGCTCCTCCTTTCCTTTGAGTTCAGCCAGGGGCTGCCACTGGTAGACATCCCAGCAGCCTAATGCTCTGGTTTCTGATGTCTCTCTTAAAATTCTTTGTTTGGGTGCCATTTGTGGCAGTTAGGCACGGACCCACCAGATTGAGTGCAAGCTGGCAAATCATTTATTAACAGTTTATTAACACGTTTTTATACTCCTCGATTACATAAGAGGTTACATAACCATAGGGCATGTGCTATTTCCCCAAGGATCATTCTCGAATCCTTCCAGTGGGCATGTGCAGTTGAGCACTCTCTTCGGGGAGCCTGCTGCGGAGACTACATTTCCCATCCTTCCTTGCAATAATCTTCCTGTAAGGTGTTAGCCCTTTCCCACAAAGTCCAACCCTTGATCCACTACTGCCGTGGTTACGAGACCATGGCACTGATGCCACATCCAGTCTCATCTTAAAAACCTCCAGAATGGAGAATCCACCACTTCCCTGGGTAGCCCATTCCAATGTCTGATTACTCTCTCTTTAAAAAATGTCTTCCTAATATCCAACCTAAACCTCCCCTGGCACAGCTTAAGACCATGCCCTCTTGTCTTACTGATAGCTGCCTGGGAAAAGAGACCAACGTCTACCTGGCTACAACATCCTTTCAGGGAGTTGCAGAGAGTGATGAGGTCTCCCCTGAGCCTCCTCTTCTCCAGGCTAAACAACCCCAGCTCCCTCAACCTCTCATAGGACTTGTGCTCCAGTCCCTTCATCAGCCTTGTTGCTCTTCCCTGGACCTGCTCCAGCACCTCAATATCCTTCCTGAACTGAGGGGCCCAGAACTGGACACAGCACTCCAGGGGTGGCCTCACCAGTGCTGAGTCCAGGGGAAGAATCACTTCCCTGGACCTGCTGGCCCCACTGTTCCTGATCCAGGCCTGGATGCCATTGGCCTTCTTGACCACCTGGGCACATTCTGGCTCACAATCAGCTTCCTGTCAATCCAAACTCCCAGGTCCCTTCCTGCCTGGCTGCTCTCCAGCCACTCTGTCCCCAGCCTGTAGTGCTACAGGGGTTGTTGTGGCCAAAGTGCAGGACCCGGCACTTGGCCTTGTTGAACCTCATCCCACTGGAATCAGCCCAACTCTCCAGCTTGTCCAGGTCCCTCTGAAGAGCCCTTCTGCCTTCCAGCAAATCAACACTCCCCCCAACTTGGTGTCATCTGCAAATTTGCTAATAATACACTCAATCCCCTCATCCAGATCATCAGTAAGGATATTAAACAGAACTGGGCCCAACACTGATCCCTGGGGGACACCACTAGTGACCGGCCACCAACCGGATGCATGATTCCAAATAAGCCTGAAGGCAGCCAGAAGCTACAAGATCCCTCATTGCCTCCCTGTTGTGGGAACCCCTGAGCAAGGGTGAGTCAATGGCGTTGAGTCCCATCAGCAAGGAGGACCCCATGTTTTGTCACACACTGATTTGCAAAGCTGACCATTGAAACAGCCTTTGCCTTTTCAGTTGGGCAGGATCTTACCAGGGGCCACTGGTAAGAGATTCTATAGCCTTAGAAGCCCCTGATGCTGTCTTCTGTACTGTAAGTTTTCAGGTTAGAACTGCACTTTAATCCATTTACTGCTGGTTTTCAGTTACACCTGATGTTTCCACTACTTTTCTATGCTATTCTGTCTTCCTAGATGTGCTGGAAATGCATGGTAGCACCCAACACATTTTGTGCCTAAACAGGGAAATCAAAGTCACTGTCTTCAAATGAGCATTGATTATTTAAAGAGCATCATCTTTAATTTATGAAACCATTACATAATTACACAAGTCAAACCTACCTCACAGGGATGTTGTGAGGCTTTCATGAGTGTTTGTATGGCCTTCAGAAAAATGAAGCCACCCTGTAAGTGCTTAATAATATTTTAATAAATACCTAAATATTTTTTTCCAGAGTGATTCGATATTTGAAGATGCTTTGGGGAGCATGTGCACAAGGATGTATGGCAAGAGCAAGGCGCAGGCTGGATTATTTGGGGTTTTTTAATGCAGTGGGGAATCTCTCTCTGGGAAGTGATGGGTTGCAGTGCTTTTAGCTAATCCATCTTGAGCTACTCCGAAGTTCCCAGTTTAGTTCCCGTAGACCAAAAGACTGAGCTTTTTGACAGCTGTTCTACTTCTGTCCCGTGGTCACTGTACAAAGTCTCTGCCCCAGCTCAAGCACATTTTGCTGGCTTCCAGCGCTGCCTGGGGCCCACTCTCAAATGCAGTTGCTGCATTGCCTGCCAGCCACCCTCTGCCACCCCCAAATGACAAAAAAACCCTCTGATGCATCCTTTCAAGCTGATGTGTGTCTTGAGACAGGTGAAGATCTGCTGTAGCTGCTGTATTACTATGAAGTCAGCTCTAATGAGGAAGCACCTACCACCCAAACCCACCCCATGCCACTGGGTTGGTTATCCATTAGTTATCCTTTTAGTAGGGAGATGGGAATAATCATTAAAGCCAGTAAATGTCATTTTCTGGAATTCTATGCAGTAGTGATGTTCTATCACATCCTACTATTGGAGATTTCTGTGTTGTTTATTCATGGCACTCAGCCCTGGGACTACAGTTATGTGTTTGACATATATACCATACGTGCTTAAGCACTTTCTAGAAAAGTTAAGACTGTTGTCACCGCCCCCCAGGAACAAAGAGCTCCTGGTGGTGTTTTACTTTTAATCCAGTGATATCTCAAATGTGTAAGGCTGAATTCCTGCAACAGCAGGGCAACCTCTCCTCATATTTCTCATGAATTCAGAGTGGAAAAAGAATGTGTTGGGGGGAGGGGGTGTTGAGGTTTTGGTGGTGCTGTCACAGAAGATATCTGAATTCTTTCATATGGTGGTAGTTGGTGATAGTTCAAGTCTAGCCTGTCAGTAACACACATGGTTCTGTGATGCCAGCATGTTCCAGCAGAGCTGTGGCAGGATTCAGGAGACCCTGTAGTTTAGTTTACTAATTTTTTGATGCTTCCTGAATGTTCAGATCAAAAAAAACCAAAAAACCAAGCGGGGGGGGGGGAAGTTCATGTTTCTATTTTAGACTGTCCTTGCTCTTCTCTTTTCTGTGCTCTGCCAAACTATCCTTTGGTAGGGTGGGATCTACCTCTTACCAAAGAATATTCCAGACCAAAGTTCTATGTTAATAAACTTAATCACATTTTTTCTGGCATTGTTGATTCCTGTATTTTGATCTATATGAATATATAGGTATCTGGAGTCTTGCAGCTCTACTTTGCTTTTCTTCAGAATGTGATGATTGTGTTTGGGGTTTTTTGGTAGATTTTTAAACAGGGAGATTGAATAATTTCTTCAGGTCACAGTCAGGTCTAACCCTACCCAGGTCTGCCCAATATCTCAGAGACCAAGTTTGTCTTGTTAAGCAGAGTGAGTTTACTGAAGACTAGTCCCTCATCTGCATGTTGGACAAACCGTGCGCTCCTCCTATGTGTCATCGAAGCACGTGGCCGTCACAGCTTGGAAGTCTCCACACCTCTCTGTTCTTTCTTATTTTCAATATCCTCATCAGGTTGGTTGTGAAAGTCAATGAAGAGTTTGTAGATTAAAACACCAATAAGACTTCCCAGAACTGGAGCTGTGACTGGGACCCACCACCAGTTACGTCCAGCCCTAAAAAGAAACACAGAAAAGGCAGCTGGTGAGCCAGGCTGGAACATCCTACCCTGCCATGTCATTGTGCAGCAGGAGTGAGCTGAGTCTGCTGGGGCAGGGGTGAGCTGTGTGAGCAGAGGTGCCTGTCCCACTTTGTGTACTGGGCTCTACAACTATCTTAGACAAATTCGCTCTCCACCACCCGATTGCTGGAGGGAAGGTCATTTTCCCCATCAGCATGAAAACATGGCTCCACACTGTCTGCAGATTTCTTGTTATCCAAAAGAAATAGTCCACGTGATCTTGATGAGTGTGACTCTCAGACACAGGCACCCACGTTTTCCCTCCCCTTTTCCAGTAACATCTGGGACAGGAGACTGCAGTAATGACTGAACCATAGGAAAAGCCATAGCATGGCACCATCCTTCTAGATAGAGGAAGGTAGGATTTCATCTCCAGATTCAGACATCTAAATGTAGGAGAGCTATTCAGCAATCCAGCTGTAAGTACGTGCTTTCAGGTGAGCTGAATGCATTATGGCTCTCTGGTCACTGCAATAACCAGCTAGATCTCCAGTGAACAGGTCAGCAGTTTGGTGCCCAAACTGAGGTATCAGAGTGTCAAGGTGAATCCCATGCAGGAGAATTAGTGTACCCCGAATTTGGTGTGCAGAGTAGAGTGCCCAGGGCTCCTCTAGGCACAACACTTGCTCTCTGAGAATGGAGAACACACTCTGCAGTGACACCATCACTTGGCCCAAAGAAAAAGGCCTTGGGACCATTTTGTCTTGGGCTTATCTCCTCTTCTTGCAAGCTGGGCAGTGTAAAAGCAGAACAGGTTACTCACGTGAAGACCTCTGTTCCCCAGCCAGCAATTGCTGTGAAGATCCTGGGGGGCAGGTCCCGGGAAGGGTTTATGGCATATCCTGTGTTCATCCCCATTCCCAGGCCGATGCCCAGGACCAGGATACCGGTGATCAGGGCCTGAGTGCCTTTCAGGGCTGCATTGTTTTTCTCATCGTGGATGACCTGAACGCCCAGGACCAGCATAACTGTCGCTGTGAACTGCAGGAGCAGAAGAGGGAGAACAGGTCACAGGAGAGAATGGAAAAGGTGGAAGAATTCTGCTCAGCAGAGGGGAAGAGGCTTCCCAGAATCAAAGAAGAGATAAGATTCACGGTCTGATCAAGACAGGGAGGACCCAAATGTTACTCCTGCCTCACAGGTGGACTGAAGAAAATTCTAGACTCATTTCTCAACAAAAATGTGTTCACCTCTGCCAAAAGTGCTCTAAGACTGATACAAACTTCTCAGCAACAAACTCTCCCCCTCCACCTCTTAAGTCAGGGAAATGGGTTATTTTAAGTACATTTTGTCTAACAGAAGCAGAGCCCTAGCAAACAGCTAACAAGACAAATCTGATCCTCTCTAGTGATGTTTTTACTACGGCCTGTTGCTTTAGCCCTTCCTGGAACTAAATGCGGATACCAGATTCTCATCTGAGAAGTTGAATGTCCCATCAATGACAGTACACAGCTGGCATTTGTAGATCTGCAGTGCCAAGGACATCAAGAACCACAGTTTGTATAGAGGTGATGACTCCTGTTTCTTTCTGCTTCAGCAAATGCAGCTGGAGAGCCTTGGTCTGCTTGCGGAGATGCCAACAAAAGCAGAAACTCTGCAGCTCTTAGCAATGTACTGTCAGTGTCATTTGCTTTCTTGTGCAGCAAAGACACGGCCTGATGCACAGGAGGCTGAGTGATCAGCTCCCCACCTGTAGGCTCTTCCTCACTACCTTCCTCATCATGCCTAGTCAGGAGTTTTGTCAGCTCAGAAAAAAATCATTGGCTTCCTAAGATATTCACTGGAAGTGAATCTTCACTCTCCGGTATCTCAGTGCTTCACACATCCCTTTCCTATTTCTGGGCATCTGGACATTGTGCTATGTGCTGAGAATCAACTGTACACAGCCTCAGTTGGACTATTCAAACTGTAGAGTTTCAGTCCAGGCTGTGCTCATGTGAAGACAGTCCCAGGCTCTCTTCGCTGGGCAGGAGCAGCCAGCACAGCTGACTATGGTCATGGAGTGGGTGTAGAATCCAAAAAGGGCAAGAACAGTTCAGGGAACTGCCCAGAACCCAAAGGAGATGGTTGCTGATACAGGTCACCTTCTCATTTCCCATTGCTTGTGCTGGATGAAGGGAAAGTGACTGGAGGGCACTTGGACCAAGCTGCGGAGCTTCCTGCAGGCATTACCCTGAGGATACCTTGTAGCAGACCTGTTACCTCCCACCTTCTACTGGCACACAACAGCCATTCCTACTGACCTCTGTAAAGAAGGCTCCCAGCAAGGATACATTGGGAGCAGGGTACGTGGCGAAGATCCCTGCAGTGGCAATTGGTCCTGTCACTGTGAAGTTCCCTTTGGTGTAGTCGTACAGAGCATCTAGGAGGAGTGGGAGATACAGAACTTAGCACAGAGTTCACCCCACAAGTCACATACACATGTTCACCCATTGCAGCCAGGACAGACACAAAGGAGGAGAGAGGCAATGGAAGATATGATGGAGGTGACACACTCCTCGCAGGGCGTGATCTCACCGATACCTGTTGCCCACAGACTTTGGTCTGCAATTTCTTCCTTATGCCCCCTATTCCTGCTCCAGCAGCCTGGATGTGCTGGAGGCCTCCACCCTGAGACTGAGACATGCTGGAAACAACAGCTGGCAGGTCCTCTGCTCACAATTCAAAACCCCTGGTGTCTGTGATCCTGTTTTTCACAGACCAGCAGAGTCCCCCAGAGCTCCAGCTGTACCTAATACACAGTAGTTCATGTAACTCGAGCCCCTGCAGACCTGGAAACAATGCTGACAAAATGCAGCTACTGCACTTCAGTTGAGGACAGGTTTTGAAAGTGGGAATGCCCTGAGCGAAAGGAGCTATGTTATCCAGGAACTGTGTATTCTTCCCAGAGGTATCTGGGACCTGCTCTGGCCATGAGATATGAAGTATGTCTCACAAGCCTTGCCCTCCTCACCCGGAAATCATGCTGTGAACTCTAAAAGGACATATTTTTAATAATGTGAGTTGAATGAAATGATGCCTACAGCAACCTCTGTGATAAAAGACACAACAATACCATAGTAGATGCCAAAGACGGTGGCTGCTGCCATAAAGGAGCCCAGGAACTGGCCGATCAGATAAGCTATGAGCTTCTTCCAGTTGAGGTTTCCTAAAATGAACTCCATAATGGTGATAGCAGCATTCAGATGACCTCCTGCAAAATCAAAGAAAAAGAAAGTGGCCTCAGCCCTGATGTAGGTGGTTTAGAGCATGTGACTGGGCAGATGCCCCATTCCTGGAAACATTCAAGGCCAGGTTGGATAGGGCCTGGAGCAACCTGCTCTGGTTGAAGATGTCCCTGCTCACTGCTGGGCGGTTGGACAACACAACCTTTAAAGGTCTCTTCCAACCTAAACCCTTCCATGGTTCTATGCCCCGTGCCACGCAGTGGTTACACAGACCTTGTTCCAGAACACCAAGACTCTCTCAGGGCAGGGTCTTACTCCTGCACAGACACAAAACTGACCCATTCTCCCTGCTCAGCTGAATCATACAGGTCAAAGAGCTACTAGCTTTAGTCTTCTAAAACTTCTGTAGACCACAGGCTGCCTCCAGAGAGTGGATCATTTTGCCAGTCAGAGATACCTTTCTTGGCATGGCATGAGTTTCTCTGTGAGTTTCTCAGTGGGCTGCTCTTTATTGAGCTTAAAAAGAGCCCGGACTTAGCCACTTTTTAAACGGCTGCAGGTAGACGAGGCAAATCTTAGCCCAAACAATCACAAGGCCTTCTGGAAACATCAGATAGACAAGAAGGGCCACATCCAGGCAAAGCTGAGTACCCCAGCTGATGGGAGCTGTGGGCCCTTAGCGTACCTGGCAGGCAAGGCATGAAGTGCTAGGGAAACTGCAGAATCAGCCACTGATGACCCACATCTCTGTGACTGCATAGCAAATCCTACACAGGGCTGTCAGCAGGGACTCAGGTGAGCTCATGGACATCACTGCATTGAGAAGGGCTTGCCAAGATGTTCAACCATACCCAGACCATGGTTGCTTCTACTAGTTTGAAGCAGACCCTGTCCTTCCCTTGCAGAGTTTGTAATCTTGGACTGCATTTCCTGATATCTTTTAGTATGTGGCTTCCATACAGTGCAAGACCATTTTCCCTGTTTTGATGGGACACTTTCTGTGGAGGAGCTTGGTATCACAATGGTACTTTTGGAGAAGGACTACATGAATCCAGGTTTGGTGACCTTGGTGTGTTCTCCAGGCCCCATGTCCCCATGAGTTTAAAGGAAATATTTGTTTTTCCTGACCGGTAGGTATAAACTTTAGGGGCCAATAAATGTTCCAACCTTCATGGCCATCTCCTACTCCAGACTCTAGAAGGGGTAAGATGCAGACACCCATTGTCTCATCAAAGGGTAGGGCAGAGTGAAGTAAAAGTGCATGTATCGCCTTGCTACAGTCCAACAATCACAAATGGAATGGGGGTAGATCCCTTTTTCTTTGATCCTCTGCTCCTTTGCGGGTATGACCAGCCATTTCAGAGATCACAAGAAGCATCTTGTGACACATTGAAACCAAATTACTATGACAGGAAGCCCTGAAGTTTGCTCCATAACCAGACCGTTGCTGGCTTAACCAGACTGAGCTGAGATCCCTTCCCTCTGCCCTCTGCCCTCAGCAGAGCAGCTCCTTCTCAAAAGTCACTTGGGACTGCCGGGACCTACTTTCCTCAGCCCACTTTTCCCAGGATTTTTCCACCAGCTCCAGAAGTCAAGGAAACCAAGCGCTGACTGCTCGCATGGAAAATTTTTCCAAGCCAGCCCCAAGCTTGGACCTCTCTCTCTGCTCCAACAGTTCAAGAGCAAAGAGTTGCTTTAATTTTCTGCCCATTAGAGCCATTAATCTCATCTCTTGGTGCAAATGAATGCAGAAATAGCACAAGGCACAGGTAATGCTCTGCCATGTGAGGGATGGCACCGCAAGGCCCTGAACCACCACCTCGTGCGGGTTATGTGCGCATGGATGTGGATGGTAAGGAGGAAATTTGCATACCATTCCTTGTTGCGACATCAGCAGTAAGCTCTCCTTTGCAATGAATTATTTACTTCCCCATGGGTCATATCAGCAGCTTGTTTTGGGAGCTCCCTGTCTCCTTAGGCCATGACGGCATATCCCAACTGCCTAACGGGGGAACTGCTGAAACCTGGCTTTGCAGCAGGAGGGGAAGGTAGAACCTCTGCCACCCTCCCTGTCCCACTTGCCCCATCACAGCTCAGAGCACAAGTTTGGGGACAGCATGCTGTATAAGTGCTGTGCCTGCTTTGTCCCTTGCTTCCCCTGACAATGCCACGCCACCGCAATGCCTTGGCTTGACCTCTGACCTGCCCCTCCTCCCAGATTTGGCTGTGTTCTCCAGGTCACAAAGCTGGCCCTGGTCATGGTCACCAACCAGACCTGCGCTATTCTTCTTGCTTGGGTACCCTAGGACTGCCCTTTTTGGGGTGAGGGCGCTGCTCCACCTTGCCATGCTGTCATGAGCCCCTCCACAGCCCACTGGTGCTGTTCCCAATGCATGTGGCCTTTAGGGGACATGGATATGTCTCGTGCTCAAGTGTCCTGCTCACCAGATACTCCTCCAGCTGCATGGATTCCCAGAGTAACACCAATGCCAAATGCCATATTGATGCTCAGATACTGACCAGTGTTTCCTTTTCCTAATACCACTTGTGCCACAGAGGACAAGCCAAAAACCTGTGTAAAAAGAAAGAGAGAAAGGAGTGTTAAAAGTGTTGTTGTTGCTGTGGTGGACTGAGCTTCTTTGCTACTTTTTCTGCAATACTAATAAACTCCCAAAGACAGGAAGTCTCTAAGGTGCCTATGGTCAGAAGACAAATAACAAGCCTCCCCTGCAAAAATTGAAGTGATGCCTGGGAAATTTCTCATTGGTGCCCATCAAACCAAACCAGGCACTCTCATTATGGTTGGGTGTGGAGAGATAGTTCTTTGAACACTCTTACACTGAAATCTGGAGAAGGACGAGGCTTCTTGTGAGGTTTCGGCCTCACAAACCACTTACGGTTTGGAAGGTATATCCTGTTCCGAGGACTGCACTGATGTTTAAGCAGGATGACATGTCTTTCAAAAACAAGAAAGTCAATATGTTCTCCAGCATCTAAACTTCTGCTCTGGCCTGTACTGTTTTAACTGTGATCTTTTCTGGCTACTCTGCCTGGATCCAAATTTTATCTCATGCGTCTGCTTCCCCCCGATGCTTTCACACATCAGTCAAATCCCCTGTTCCCCAGGGATGCTGTTTTATCTCTCTCATATACACAGACCGCGCTCTGTGCTCTGCACAGAGCTGCAGCCTGCACAGTGTAAGCTCTTCTCAGATTGCCTTAGCAAAAGCCCCCAAAAGTAGTTTATGATGTCCCCCAGCATCTGCAAAGCATCTGCATATTCATCTCTGAATTTTCCAAAGCCAGATCCAAGAGAAGGCAAATGCATAAGGCACAGGTTTTGCAGCAGAGCACACAGGTGCAGAGAGAAGGGTACAAAGCAAGAGATATAACTGTGCATGAACAGCATTATCCTGAAAAAAAACATAAGACAGGCCACAGAATCTATTTTTCAGCACAGTTCCAAACCTCCCTTCTCTTCCTGTATAGTCACAGTCCCAAAATACTTTCTTTTTTCTCTTTCCTTCTTCCCTAGTCCTTGTGCTGTTTAGTCCTGCTGCCTGGTTCCTCCTTTATCAATATTGCCTGTCTATTAAAGTGAGAGGCCCTGGAGGTGAGCGCTGTTGTCCAAATAACAGCCATCCAGGCATCCTGGAGATGCATCCAGCACCTTCCCGTTTGCACTGAGGGCCAAGGTGCTGCTGAAGAGTTGGGTGCTGGATGGTGCTTGTCATCAGCCCTTCATGGGAGTCCACCTGCACTGCCCTTCTTTTATTCTATTCCCTCACATGCATCAGCGAGAGAAGAGCCAATGTGAGGTGCAGGCCACAAAATGTGCCTTGGACTGTCAGAGTGCAGAGAAAAGTCTCTACTCCATGCTGCTTCCCGGAGACAGCCATGGCAGGACAACCCTGAATTGTTCTTTGTCACCTGGGAACTTCAACTACCAAATAACGAAGGGAATGGTAAGCAATTTGCTTTTGTAAAATGGTTTACTAAGCTGTTTCTGAGGCTTCACAGATGCCTGTACTCTGACTTACTATGGGTACAAAACTGCCTAGGAGTGAACTTCAAGGAGGTGGACGTGCAATATGATGTGATAAGAAGCAACCATCCTCTGCAAAGGCAGTTGTTGCCCCTGAAAATGAGCACCTTTGTTTGTACAGTCAGCTCTGTCACAAATTTGCTTACACATTTGCTTACACAAATCTTATCTTCCTCCTGTGCAAATCTCCAAGTGCAAGTTGTTGGGGTTATGCTCAGCCTTTGCATGCCAGCCTCTGTCCAGTCCAAAGCATCTCAGCCCAGGCTAAGTCCACGTGTAGTAAGTTGGCACAGACAGACACTGGACTTTTCAGAGGGAGGATCTCATTATGCTGTGTTGGTTCAAAACTCACAGTCTCTGATCCCTCTGGGTACTTCATCCCCACCAGGGATCAGTTCTGATTGTAAAACCTTCCTTACTCTCTCCCCAAACATTCGGAAGCAGCCCAGGAGCTCAAGCCCACTTAGCTTTTTCTTTGTGAAACAGATCCCTTAGGCAAGGGGGCAGTTTATGCATGATTTGCATAAGCACTATTCAATTGGCAGCAAGAAAAACAAAAGTGAAATCCTGTCGTGCTTCACACCCGGTAATTACAGTTCCTAATGGTGGGCTGTGGCTCAGGAGAGTTTCTCTGGAAGGTTCATTACCCTGGCAACACCGAGAGAGGAAGATGGATGAACGCTGTTTTCATTTCACAGCAGCTGTCTGTGATAGGGGAGTCAGGGTCTGCCCCCCAGACCTGTTCAGGCCCCACCAACCACACCATTGCCTCTCATAGCAGGAAGAAAAGTCTCAATTCACTGTATGGGATCTTTCAGGGTGTTTGCCACGAGTGTTGTGTTACTCTGTCTGACTAGACATTGCTCTTTGATTTCATTCCCAAACTCTTCCTCAGTTTTCTCCTAGAAGAGAACTGAAACAATGACATGTCCGGAGAAGGGCAGTGGAGCTGGGGAAGAGTCTGGAGCACAAGTCTGATGAGGGATGGCTGAGGGAGGTGGGAGTGTTCAGCTGGGAGAAAAGGAGGCTCAATGATGACCTTATTACTCTTTACAACTACCTGAAAGGATGGTGTAGCCAGGTGGGGGTCAGTCTCTTTCTCCCAGATAATAAGTGACAGAAGAGGAAACAGCCTCAAATTGCACCAGGGGAGATTTAGATTGGATATTAGGAAAAATTTCTTCACCAGCTGGGTTGCTAAACATTGTAACAGGCTGGCCAGGGAAGTGGTGGAGATATAGATATTAAATACATATTATAATATATCAGTATTATATATGGATATTATAATATATATAATACCCTGGACGTATTTAAAAGGCATGTAGATGTGGCACTTAGGGACATGGTTTAGTGGTGGGATTGGCAGTGCTGGGTTAATGGTTGAACACTTAAAGGTCTTTCCCAACCTAAATGGTTCTGTGATATTATCATTCTATCCCACCTGCTTCACTGTCTCCCAGCACCCACCTCCCACTCCCTGCATTAATTTTTAGCTCCAGAAGGTTTTTGGCAGACAGTCTTCCTGATGGGAAACTGCCACCCTACCACAGCAGAGGGGTGAGCAATAACAACCAGCCATCAAGCAACCCTGTGGATGTGGTAGGAAACCGCTGACCTTACAAATTGCTGTTTTAAATGGTTGCACGCACACACACACGCATGTCTGGACCCATCTCCTCCTTACCATGAGGATGTACGTTCCCAGTGCTTCTGCCAGCAGCTGCCTCACGGTGCTGCAGTGAGTTGTGAGCGCCTTCTTGATCTTCTCAGACATTGTCCTCTCCGACCTCGGAAGGTAGACACGGTGCTGCTGTTGTGAAAACACACTTCATTGCACTGAGCCAAGTTACCCTTTGAAACTTGGCACCCCCTCTTCAGCCCCAGACACCTTCATTCATTTGGTTAACGATGAACAAGCCAATAAAGCAGCAGCCAGCTTTAAAGTCTGCCCCCACACAAACACAGATACCATCCTTTAAAAGCTATATCATACAGATGCAATATTTCTATTACTGGGGCATTACAGACCCTGTGTGTCTGCCCAGGAGCAGCCTATCCTCAGAACAGTGGAGCTGTAAGTAGCCTTGTTGTGCTCTTAAGGCTGTCTTTCTCAGTAAACTTTTCCACTGGGACTGAACAGGAATTTTGGCTCCGCTCTGCATTGTAACCCACTCACTGGTGGTTTGGTGTCATTGTTTTAAAACAGATGGGATTAGGGCCATTTGCCTGTGCAGGACTATTTGGATGCCCATTCTGCAGCGAGGGTGCTCTGCCTGGAGCCAGTGTGCACTGCTGTCCTCAGCTGGGAAGAGCACAATGCACTGCTTCAGGCTGAATAGTTGCTCTTGTTGAATGCACCTGTGTCTGCAGCTGCCATCACACTAGCGGAGAGCTGTGCCACCAGTCACCCTGTCTGTCCTCTCGTGTGGGGCAAGGAGAAACCCAGCTCAGAAATGGTCTCCAGAGACCTTCAATCTCATCTAGCTGCCAGAGCAGAATCATTGCTGTCCTGATTCCTCCTCCATCTACCGATTCCCTCTGCTCATCTCCCTCCTCACCAGGTGCTCTTACCTCTCCACGGTGAAAACCTTTGTTTAATCATGGAAAAACTTACATTCACTGAACACTCAAGACCTTTCCATGTGAGCCTTTTCTGGTTCTTTGCTGGTTTTCTTCACCTTCCTCTCAGCCTGCTGCAGCTTCTCCGCGTGGCTCTGCAGAGGACAGCTCTGCAGAGGTTACCAGCAGCTGCCCCAATGGGGACATGGTGCTCTGCTCGTGCTGCCCATGGTGTTGCTTCCCTCTGCTCTACTGCATGGGCAAAAGTTCATGAGCTTTCTTTCACCCACAGGACCCTCAGCAGCTGTATGGAAGAACCTGTGAAGCTGATTCTTTTCTGCTCCATAGATGATTGTCTATCTTCTGGCAGGGAGAGTTTTATGCAATGGGGTAATCCCTCCTCCAGGAACAGATTAGCTATTGACCCCAGCGAATGTCGGGATAAATATGCAGTAAATTACTAGTCTGTCTCTGACACTAAGGATAATCTAATTATGACAGATGGTGATCATGCTGCTTGCAAGGGTGTTCCTACTGCATATTTCTAGGTGGGAAAGTTTTCTCCTAAGAGTCTGTGAGCTATGCTGTGGCACAGAACAAGCACCAGATAAATCTTTCTAGGTCACTTCATTCTCTGCCATGCAACTGTTTATTGGTGGAGCACAAACGTGGGCCCTGGAGCACCAGGTTGGGGTAGTGACAAGAGTGTCAAGTTTGTTTTGCACATGGTGGTTTCCAGCTGACTTTACATGTCACCTGAGATCTGCATGTATTGGAGACCTCACAGCCTTTCTTGGATGGACAAGGTGCGAGTGGGTCAGTATCACCCACAACTGGACCTACAACTTTGTTTTTCACTCCTAGATCTCAGGGAGCCTTCCAAGTGGATTCTTTCCCTGTGGGCTAGGAATCTACTGTGTCGCTAATAGGCTTTGTCTCCTGCATTTAGGCTTTAACTATAGGCATCTCCATATTCTGATTTGGGCTGAAAAATGGACAGGTACTTCCTGGGAACACCAGGTTCCCATGGACTTGCAGTCTTCTCAGGGAAAAAGGCAATCTCAGTTCGCAATAAAAATCTTTGGTTTGGTGATAATATTTGCAGCGTAATTCCCAACATTACCACTGAATTCCCTAAAATTTCAGCATGCTTCTAGGATAGCATCATGAATCACTAGATATGTCTCTTGCCACTGCTTGTCCTTTTGTTCAAGTCATTCCACAAGATGGCACCGAGACATTAATTTCTCCCTTAAAAGTGTTCAGAAGGGTTCCTCTGTTGGCTACTGAAAATGTGAGAACTGTTTAATTTTAGGGTTTCTCTAGGTATTTTTAGACATTGAAGTGATAGACATGTTCAAGGAGAGTAACAATAACAAACCCAACACCTTTCCATAGGTCATGTAGGTAGGTCAGAGCACCTCTGTTCTGACAGCACACAAACCCAAAGCGTGTGAGCCTGCACCTGACACCTTCCACTTTACAATCAGCAGAGAAAAACAGGCAGCTCCTATGGGCAGTTATTCCCCACCTAAAATAAGCTTCTGAGGCCAGGCCTATGAGTCACACTAGATACTGGCACTTTCCCTCCAGTGTCTGCACAGGGACAAGGAGTGATGGGCTCCAATGCGCACACCCACGTGGAGATACCTACCCCCAGGTGAGCTGGACTGCCCCTCTCCCTGCATCCAGATGTGGTGATCTTGAGCAAGTGCAAACCACGTGAGTCAGACAAGGGCTGAATTGCGAATATCTGCTGGTTGCCCAACGGTACCTGCCCATACTTGCTCAGTTTCACTTACCCGCAGGGCTGATGGGGATCTCTGGGGTCACTAAATACATCCCTCCTGACATAGGCAGCCACATCACATTGACCCTTTGGTGACCAGGCCAGTCTCCATTTTAGGGGTAGGTGCTTTTTGCCCAACTCCTCCTGTTGGACCCTGTTACCAGAACTAGCTGCTCTGGAGATTAGACGCTTTCCTCTAATTTTCAGCCAAATTCTCAAAGCTGTTTGTCCATGTGCCAGCATTGCCCCATCACAGTCATGAGTTAATTTGTTTATTACAGGTGCTATCCCTTAGAGTGTTCCTATAAGGTTTGTTAGAAGAGCATTAGCTGTTTGTGCTTAGCTCCACAGTGCCTCCTGATGTTTACCTTGATTTCCTCACAGGTTGAAACTTCACTCAGCATTGACCTTATAATGATTTTACCACACTTTCCCCTGCACATTAAGCAGCCACCTGCTAAACCAAACCCGTTTTCTTCCATAAGGCAGGTGTGCTTTCAGCAGTAGTAATAAAGGTCTCAGTTTGGAGAGGAAGGTTTTGGCACAGTCAAGGCCCACTAAGTGTGCTGGTGTTGATACCCATGGTCCTGAAGAACAGGAGGAACAACACCCCTGGATCCTGCTAGAGCAGGCCCAGGAAGGATGACAACCCAGGAACTCCAGGGCATTCTTCAAGGAATAACTTCTCTGACTCAGTTTGACAGTGCACATGCTCCTCTGCACCTAGGAGCTCATTTATCTCTTAATTGGGCTAATCAGCAGGTGGAACATTGCCACTCCAGTTGCTGCAGCCCTGCTGGTGGAACTTTTTTTCCCCAGAGGCCTAGAGGAGCATGAGCAGGGAGCACAACAGAGGACGAGAACAACTTGCTCCTCAATCAGACCAAATGAACATTGCACCAAGATATCTCCAGTGCCCTTTAGGAAGCAAGGCCCAGTCAGAGAGATCATTACAGCACTGGTATGACCTTAGCTGTCCAGTACAGACCCCAGCTGACATACCCTGGAACACCTGCTCCCTATGGTCTCATATTTAATACTCATGGTCATTTTTTACAGGTGGCAGGCACCGAGCAAGTTGCAGACACCCCTGATGTTTGTCTCCCAGCAGATGGCTTTGCTCTCTGTACTGTTACCCCGCTCTCCATTCCCAGGATACCACCCTCCACAGTGTTTCAGCTCACCCCACACACCATTGTCCCTTGCCCTGAAGCTGACCAAAGGTTCGTCACCTGCACATACTCGTCCATGATACCAGGCTGGCTCTTATCGTGCTGGGCAGAAGTGGGAGGTGGAGGCACAAACAGAAGGAGGTTCACCGGTGAGATCCTGCTTCAAGCACAGTGCTGCCCTTCCCCAGGCTGCTACAGCTTACTCAAGCCGAGGTAATCCCCAAGGGGATAGTGTCAGCAGGAGCAGAGTTAGCCAGGGAGAGCAGGGCTCTACACGAAGGGGTTGCCAGGGGTGGCGCTGGCTCCATTGTTGAGCAACAAGAGCGGAACCCTCCTGGCCACCAGGGACCCACTCACCCCACGTTGGGCCACACTCTCCTTCTGCCCTTGTTTGACTTATCAGACAGAATCAGGTCATTTTTGTAGGCAGCAAAGCATGATGGTTTTTGAGGCACCCCACCAGCTTTGATCTGTGAAAAGCTCTGAAAAATGTCACCTGCCCACAAATATTTAACAGGGACTGAAATGGAGGCGCAGGGGTAGTTCATGTCATAGAATCATAAAATGTCAAGGATTGGAAGGGACCTTAAAGATCATCTAGTCCCAATACCCCCAGCTACAGGCAGAGACACCCCCCACTAGACCAGGTTCCTCAAGGCCTTATCCAACCTGGCCTTGAACACTGCCAGGGTTGGGGCATCCAGAACCTCGCTGGGCAACCTATTCCAGTATATTACCACCATTATAGTAAAGTATTTCTTCTAAACTAAATTTCCCCTCTTTTAGTTTGTGCCCATTACTCCTTGTCCTATCACTACAGTTCCTGACAAAAGACTCCCCCACCAGCTTCCCTGTAGGCCCCTTCAGATACTGGAAGGTTTCTATGAGGTCTCCACATAGAACCTTCTCCAGGCTGAACAGCCCCAACTTTCTCAGCCTTTCTTCATAGGGGAGGTGCTCCACTCCTCTTATCAACTTCTTGGCCCTCCTCTGGACTTGCTCCAACAGTTCCATGTCCTTTTTATGTTTAGTGCACCAGAACTGTATGCAGTAAAGGTCCAAGAAGGTACCCATGAGATTTCCAACAAGGTACCCATGGGATTTCCAACGGGGTCCTGCCAGCTCCTCATTTGCTATCACCCCTCATTTCCATGAGCATCTTGTTCTCCTGGCCTGCTCAGGGCCATGCTCCCACCATACTCCTGTGTGTGGAAACGTCTTCCTTCCTGTCCTGGGACCCCAACATGGGGGTCTCCAGACCCCGATAGAGAGCAGCAGGCCCTGTGGGTGCAAATGCTCTCACCCAGCTGTGAGCCGCCTGCTCAGGCCTGCTTTCAATCCACAGATAAAGTGAAAGCTGGGGAAACCACAGGGCTCACAGGACATCACCACCCAGGAGATAAGAGGAGCCAGGCTTTCTCCTAAAGGAGCACAAACACACTCTGAAAGGAGAGATTAAAGGGAAAAGGCTGCAGGCTGGGGGAGGAGACACCAGATCAGGTGAATGAGATCTTGAAGCTGGTGGAGCCAGCACACTGATCTGAACATTTCCCTGCCTCTGACTGTACAACAGAGACAGCACAGCATGGCTGTGTCCCACCCTCAGGATGCAAGGACTTCAGCCTTACAGACAAACCCCTTGTACTTCATCTCACACAGTCTCCTCTGCCTCATCCCTTCCCAGGCACTCCAGTCCAGGATGGTCTGCAGCACCAGAAAGGCACGAGCTCGTGTTGACAGTCACAAAGAGTAAAACCAGAGCAGGGCCTGATGACAGGCTCACAGCAGGCTCACAGCCCTGCCTGCTCCCTCTGCTGCTGAGCAAGCAGAGCAAGGCTGAACCAGTCGTACTTCACACAGTCCTTCACAGCCACCAGGTGTTTAAAGCTATACTGCATCCATACATTCCACTCATATAAGCTACACTTGTAAACCCTTCAAGAGATGATGTCAAACCCATAGGGACACCATAGAATCACAGAATCGTAGAATTTTGGGGGTTGAAGAGACCTTAATGATCATCCCGTTTCAACCCCTCTGCCATGGGCAGGGACACCTTCCACTAGACCAGGTTGCTCAAGGCCCCATCCAACCTGGCCTTGAACACTTCCAGAGATGGGGTATCCACAGCTTCTCTGGGCAACCTGTGCCAGTGCTCACCATCCTCACAGAATTTCTTCTATTATCTAATCTAAACCTACCTTCCTTCAGTTTAAAGCCATTCCTCTTGTCCTATCAGGCCCTATAGGCCCTTGTAAAAAGCCCACCTGTGATGCAGATGTTTTGTGGGGTGAGGAACCAGCTGGTGACACTAATTGTTGCCCATATGTATAATCAGTGAATTACCCACCCCCCAGGTCTCAGCCACACAGCCGTGTTCTCACGTATCACACCTGCCATGGGGTGTCCAAAGACAGTACAGCTGCTGGCATGACTTGCACCACCAGTGCCTGCCATGGGATTTGCCTCTCCACAGGGAAGGGAAAGGCCAGGATGGAGGCAGCTGGGTTGGTTTTCTCAGCACCAGCCCACCCCAGCCCAGAGGACTGCTCCTGGTCTGGACGTGAAGGCATCCAAAGGAAACCCCCAATAAGCTCCCACTATCGCAGCTCGGAGGAGATGCCACAGATTCCTTGCAGGCGTGCACACAAATCCCCTTGGACACTGCCCAGCATCTCCTGGAGCTCCAAGGAGCCCCACAGGCATTTCAGTGGGGGTGGAGGTTTCCTCCAGCATCAGCCAGACCCTGTCACCCTCATGATCCCCCAGCCATTTTTGCCTCTTGTGCTCTTTAGAGACACAGGAAAGAGGGACCAAGGGTGGATCTAGGTGGCTCCATGGTCATTCTCATCCTATCAGTTCTTGTGTGTAAAGCCATTGACCCAGAGGAACTCACAGAAGCTGAAAATCCAAGCATTGATGTATCCTGAGCAAGAGTCAGTTTTCCTAGCCCCTGTAGTTTTCTAGCACAAGTCCTGCATGGCACAAGTGGCAGCTTCACAAATTGTTCCAAATTAAGCAGAGCACTGACATGCAGTCTATTTCCCTAAGCACAGGGCACCACATATCAGTCATTACTGACAGTGCAGGTGTCCCTAACCCATAGCAATTATTAAACATTGTCACTGTCTTTATTGTCTGTATGTTTCTTTTTACGCAGACACTCAAATTATGCATCCATATCAGCCACTTCCTAGTGAAGAAGTAACCATAGCACACCACATTCTGAATTTTGACTTCGTATGATCCCCCTTGGGGTCAAATTATCAATTTATAATCTTATAAGAATGGCAGAGGGTCTGTCCCTCACTTCCAGCATGAACCAGTTAGAGCTCTTTGGAAGCACTTCAGGGTGTATTTGCTCAGGACCTGATGCAATGGGCCTCTGACCACAACACAGCCCCCAGGTTCTGCCACGAGACATAAATCACAACAGGTCTGTGAACATATGGAGAGTGATTTTTGCACCTCAGATCTTCATGCATGTTCCAAACTGCGACATTAGGCACAGCAAGTACCTGGATGGACCTCTCACTTACTCAGCATAGAATCTACTGAGAAATACTTGGCTTTGCTGCAATAACTTTGCTCAGAATAAGCTCAAACTGCTTTTCATGTACCACTGTGTGTATTGCACCTCCAGAAGTCCTTGACACAGGATGCTGGGGGTGCTAAAAAGGCATCTAAACAAGATTAGACAAATTCATGAAGGTAAAAATCCACCAACAGCTGTTAAACATCAACACACCTCTATTACAAGGGGAACCTGAGCTGTGAATCGTTGGGGGTTGTTAAATGATTCTGGGGAAATAAATTTGTTCTGTTCCCCCACTCTTCTCATATCACACACTCATGAATCTCCTTTGTGAGTCCAACCTGTCTCAGTGACCACTGCCTGGCTGACTGTGCTGTCCAGTGGAATAGGATGTCCACCACTTTAGTACTTAAGTCACAGGAACAGAAGGCTAACAGCCTTTTCTAGCTGCTCTTCTTGAGTTGCTCAGTTCTGAGATGAGAATACTAAAAATATATTCCAGCTCTATTCTTCACCAGAGTGAGTCCTGAGCACCCATTCCTCCTCCCTGCCCAGTTCCCCATTTCCAGGGGTGACCAAGACACCTTGTTCAGAAACAGTTTGCAGTGGGCAGAGGAGACATTTGTAACTGCACACAGCATGTTGTGTGATCTTTGCTAAAATACCTGCCCAGGCTGAGTGCTGGAAGTGCCATCAGCTCCTGGGTCATCCTGAGTCAGCCCCCTCATCATTGCTCTGTGCAGTACAGAGAGTGACCTCTCCCCGTCCCAGGACAGCCAAGGACACACGTCTCAGCTTCCCCTTCACTACTGGTGAGGCCAGTGGTCAGAGGATCAAGTAGGAGCATCCTTCATACACACAACAGGTAAAGCCAGCAGAACAGCTGCTCAGCTGCTCAGCTCACCAGAGCACTTACTATAATGCCTACAGCAGAGCAGCAATTCAATGGCATTTTAGATACAGTAAAAGCTTTAGATGAGGGGTATCTATTGCACTGCGGTAGAGGCTCCCTTCTCCTTTCCCCCACGAGCTGGAGGAAGCCACATCATATACGTCATTTAAAAGCAGACTTGAAGCAAAAGGCACTTGAAAACTCACCATGGGGAACAATTGTGCCTTGCTTAGGGCAGTAAATAGCTGACTTTGTCTTGTTCATCTCGTGTTTTATTGCCTCTGCTGTTTGTACAGTGCTTCACAGGAGAAAGCGAGCTAACGGAGCAGAGCTGCTCACTGCTCGCCTCCCCTGTGCAAACCCATCTTCCCTCTGTGCTTTCTCTCCTGCACAGCTCCATGAGATGGCACCTGTGGATGCCACACCACTACAGTGCAGTCACACAACACTGTCAGCAAGGGCTTGGGTGAGGAAAACACTGCCAGAGCCACGGGAGCATTGCGAGGCCCCCCTGCCACACTCCCTCCTCTGTGCCTGGTGTGAGGCTTGCACCTTCCTCCCTCCTGGTCAGTTTGGGAGCCATGTGGGACCTGTAGCATAGTAGGGAAAAGGAGTCTCAGAGTGGGGTCTCCCTTCACTGCAAGTGCCATGGGGTTTGTCATGTGCCATCCTGGAAGTCTAGAATGGGGACAAAATCCTCTGAACGCATAAGACCTCTTTTAAGCATACCTTGGCAACCACCTTAGTAGCAGCAAAGGGGAAATCTCACAGCCAGAAATGGTGTGGGACACAGCAAATTTTTTGTAGTCACAGGGTGGTATGGCAGAACAGAGATGCCTCACTTCATAACAATCTGCTTGGGCTGCAGCT